TCAGAATCCTTGCCTCCAAGGAGCAGCCTGGTTTAACCCTCTCAAGGATGAATCTGTTTGTTTGCCTAGCAGTCCACGGTACCCTCAATACTCTTGTCCAGCACCACAGCTCAAAGGCATCAATTCTCCTTCTATCCCCCCTAGTCATTGTCCAGCTCTCTGACCTCAATCTTGGTCTTTGCAGTAAAAACAAATAGTACCCCAAAATCTTCCTTGGACACATGGGTGGTGAGACTTTGATGTACTCTGGGGATGCTGTCAGGAGTGACCAGTCCTTAGAGGACATCTTGTTTAGTACGTAGTCAGACAAGAAAGAGGAAGACCCCCCCGTGAGCGGGACTGGCTCCTAGCCTACACCACTGGCCCAGGCGTGGCGGCCGCAGGGAAGCTGGTGCAGAGCCAGGCAGTGTTCTGTTCTGTTGCACATGGCCAAATAGTAGAATTTGTGCTGTCTCCCCAGTGGCTTGACTCCACCAGCTGCTCCGTGGGAGAAAGGTGGGCAGCCTACTCCCCTGAGATTTACTGCCTCTGAACACCAGCTGGAGGTTCAGTTAGGAGCCAGCCCCAACTCCACAGGACACAACAACATGGGACTGTTAATAACTCACTGTCAGATTGATGACACCTGGTGATAACAAGTTCTGAAGAACAAGGGTTTCACTTTAAAGACCACGTGCATCTGATCTAAGCTGTGACATTTCCACTTGTTTCCTGTGCATCTGGGAGTTGGTTCATGGATAAGGATGATGGAAGAAGAATTGATGCCTTTGGCTGCGGTCTTGGCAGTGAGCACTGAATACCCCATGGATTGCCAAAAGAACAAATCTGTCTTGAAGGATGTGCAACCAGAGTGCTCCCTGGAGGCAAGCAACTGCATCTCACTTACTCTGTGCAATCTCAGGAAGAACCAGTCGTTTGAGAGGGACGTTATGCTGGGGAACGTGATGGGTCAGGGAGAGAGAGGAAGACCTTCAACAAGATGGGCTCATGCAGCGGTTATAAAAACGGGCGTGAACATATCCGAGATCATCAGTAGCTTGGAGCAGCGTGGCGTGAGCCTCAGATCCGCTGTTCATAGTCTTGCTTCTGACCTGTAGGGGACTTGATGGCATCTAACACTAACAAGTGGTAACAGCAGGGATCCCTGGTGGTGTAGTCTTGGCAGAGGTGCACTGCAAACCCAAATGTAGTTCCACTCGACCAGCTGGGGGGAGGGGAAGAGGGGAGGGAGAGAGAGAGGGAGGGAAAGGGAGAGAGAGGAGAGAGTGGGGGGAGAGAGAGAAGAGGAGGGAGAGAGAGAATAGAGGAGAGAGAGGGGGAGAGAGAGCAAGAGGAGAGAGGGAGAAGTGGGGAGGGAGAGAGGAGAGAGAGTAGAGAGAGGGAGAGAGATGAGAGGGGAGAGAGAGGAGAGGGAGAGAGAGTAGAGAGAGGGAGAGAGATGAGAGGGGAGAGAGAGGAGAGGGAGAGAGAGGCAGGGAGAGAGGGGAAAGAGGGAAAAGAGAGGCGGGAGAGAGACACAGAGAGAGAGCGTGGAGAGGAGAAGGGAGAGGGGTGGGAAGAGGGAAGGGGGGAGAGGAGAGAGTGAGGGAGAGAAAGAGAGGAGAGGGGGGAGAGAGAGGGAGAGAAGAGAGAAAGGATAGAGATAGATAGAGAGGAGGGGGGAGAGACACAGAGAGGAGAGGGAGAGGGGGGAGAGAGTAGAGAGAGGAGAGGGAGAGAGGAGAGGGGAGAGAGAACGGCCTCCTCGGAAGACTTCTGGTGAGCTGGAAGTCTCCTGACTCAGTGACAGTGTGTGAGTGAGTGAATCAGCAGAAGTAAGACCTCCGTGGGAGGTCTTCGTGCCCAAGTGTGGCATTTTTGTCAGGTCTTTCTGGTATTTCTGTAGCAGGTCATCTTTGGTGAGGGTTAATGGCCTTATCCGTGGCCCCATCAGATACAGGACATCCTCTCTATGGCAAGGACCCAGGACAATGTTTTCTTGGGTGTCCAGCTTCGTGTTTGTGGAGCTTAAGGAAGCATTATGCCTACCACGTTGTGTTGAAAATGTGTAGAGTTGAAATAGTGCGGGGTTGTGTTGGTTTTTCTTTTTCTTTTTTTCCAGAGAGAGATAAAAAGAAAATGAGTGTTGGTGCACAGATGGGATTTTGGGGGGAGCATTAGTCAGAGGCTAATAATAAATGATCATTTGGTTTTTGCCACTAGAGTCCAAGGGAGGTGGGTAGAGCGAACCAGAAAGTGGGGAGCGTTCTCCTGAGTATTTCCCGCATCTCGCATCTATTTTTAGCCCTTCCTGACCATTCCCCATTAGTGCATGGTCTTGTGAAGATGCTAATTGGATGAGAATAAAGTGCATTGACCCGCAGGCCAAGATAGGTTTTTAAATGTTTATTTTTCTCTTTTTCAGTAAGATCATTTAGATCTGCTTGGGATATGTAAAATATCTTTACTTTTTTTCATCTTTTATTATTATTATTATGGATTTTAATGAAAATTTACGGGGACTTTGGATTTCCATTCATTCA